TTAGAATCCTCTACAGATCTACTAGCTTCCAGGCACGCATAAGTGTCCAGACGACATGCATGTACGAGTACTTTTCATTACTAAAGAAAAAACATTTTAAACGAAAGATATTTCTAGTTTAGTCTGATGGTTTTTATGGGACTAATTTTGTCCGTTTTCTCACCAGCTTTGTAATTCAAAACTCGTCATTAAAGAGCAGACTTTGCCAGAGGCGTAGCTACGTTCTCGGAACCTTTGCAGAGAGTCAAAATGGGGCCCTCATTGCCACAGCCATCTTTATTGCGGGGCAATGGGGGTCCTTATTGGGGACCCTTTAATTTCCGTGGTCCCGATGCCGCATCCAGGTGTAGCGTCCTATTCCTGTCATCGAATCCCCGTTCTTATGCGAAATGAAGTACATACATGATTCATTTTACGTGGCAAGACTCAGGCCATCAGGCCAACTCTTCCATCTACCCAAGAAAATTTCGCTAAACGTTTGCACCATCTAGCGGAAAAAGAAAGTATTAATTGGTTTTTACATCCTCAGGCGACGAAACAGGAGATTTCAAAGCCCAGAGGATTATTTTAGGCTTGAAAATATTTTTTACAAGCAGTAAATCTACCGCATGGGACAGCAGGATTTACTTCACCTCTGAATAAAGGCGTATGAAAAATTATTTCGCCCTTAAAAATCCACATCTTCGATTGGGATTGAACCTGCAAACTGGATTACAACAGTCCGATATGCCAATCGTCATTCCACCGACATGATAATCTTTCCCAAGCAATAAAAATAACAATTTAACAACAAGACAAGACAGATCCACAACTTTTATCACGTCCTATCAATTTCTCAAAACACTAAGAAATTATCACTTAATATCTGAAGCAAATAATGCATTCCATACTATTGTATAACATCCATAATCTGTAGAGATGAGAAGCTACACCGGTTGCACCCACCTGGCTATGCCCCGAAATATTCCGATCTGCCAAATTTTAATTGCCTTGTATTATTGTGGATGGAAAATGTGTTCATTGCTTTTGTGATTTCATGACCTTCGAACGTTATTTCAATATACGTAAATGATTATTTACGCAACTTCTACAGAATGTGAGGTTATGTCATACATGCGAATTTTTTGGGTGACTTACAATAATGTGACCTACAATAACTCTTGGAATCAATCTCAGTATGTAATACGGCAGCCATGTTGATTTACGTCACTCCTGTGCCTTATGTATTTCGTGGTGTACGTCCTCCACTTTGTCACAAGCGCACTGCTAAGCCCAACTTCGCAATCAATACGCATTTGACGGAGGTAGTGCTTTCTATTCATGAGTGCTGTCAAAATTGAAAATGTCAAAGTCATTAGGGCAATACAGAGCAAATAACGAACGCAACGAAATCTGTTGTTTGTGATAAAGGGCGGATGCGTTCAAAATGTTTCGTAATACCACCTTTTGTTAACGGACGAAGTACAGTTAAATTTCTGAACGCCCACTGGCCTTAATGAGTGGTTTTCCGTTCCTCTGGTTCCGTTATGGCGATGCAACAGTGCAATATTTCCAAACATATTTAATACTACATTATGAAATGATATGCATGGGTATGAATAATACTCGACTGTGAAGTGATATTACGAAAGGAGTGCGGAACAAGTGAGTATCGTGAACTTCATACGAATGTATCAACACCCATTTCATCGAGTTTCATACTTTTTATTTCGAGTACGTTTTCTTCGACAATTGCAGTATGTATGTTTTTGGCATTTAGAGTGAGAAAAAAAAACAGTTTTGCCACCTAGCGGTGTTCTCATGCCTGGACTTTGTTTTCTTTTTCACTCACCCAGAGGCTAAGGGAGTCATGTGGGGGTGTATGACGAATTCCCATCACCATGCTTATTTAGTCTGTCGGAACTTTCTTTCGTAATTTAGCTAAAGAAACTGAGACGATTTATATTAGAAAGACAGAGCTTCATTTTCCCCCGGCTGAAATCGAATGAGCCACCCGCATATATATGACAAATAATACGTATTACCAATTGAACGGTTCCGTGGCAGCTGCGTGCAATATTTAGCCAACATCGCCTAGCTGACAGCGTAGTAGGCGTTCCAGGCGGTAGCACAACCCGACTTGAAAGAGCAGATTCCGAGTCAAGTTAGCATTCAATTTATAATTGAAATGTCCTCAAGGTTCAGTACCTGTTCCCATTTCTATCAGCTTAATAACTAATGCAGTTGTCGTAGAGAAATGTTCAGCATTTCTTATTTCCTTCTGAGTTTTGAGAACAGGAGAGCGCATGCAATTTACCGTCACATCACCACGGGTTTTTTCGGGATAGTAATATAGACTATACAACGAAACATTTAAAAGAACGATGACCGCTGATTGAATATTATTCAACTGCAAACTTCTCTGTAATTGGCCAAATATCTGTACTATAATAAAGCTGTATCATAATGACTCTCATTGTGCGAGCTACAGGCCTCTAAATTGTGAATTATGAACTGGGAGTCGAAAATAGTTATTTATGCATCAACGGCGCTGTAAGGGTTGTGAAGACCGAGCGGCGATAAAAAGGGTTAATGACCGTCGCCGCTCTACCTTTAGAACCAGTTAACGCCCGTGGTACATACAATATTTTATATTTCATTTAGTTTTAATGATACGGATTTACTTACTAATTAACTAGATGTTAACGTTACTCGGTTCCTCTTTTCATATTTCCCGTCCATAATTCCCTTCTGAAGAAAACACGTTCAACTGGTTTCATATCTCCCTCGCAACCACGATTCTCTCAAAGTTATGCAGTGTATATCGAGCTCTGTATCGAAGGCCACTAACGAGCAATAACATTCATCAGTAAAAAATAATGAATAGTTTTGTTTCATTTATGTGTGTTGAAACACATATTGTTAGCGATGTAGAAAAATCATACTTGCAATTCGTTTACCGGTGCAAATAAGCTTTCTATAACTCGGAAACGAAAATGTCTATTTTTTCAAATATTGCTAATATTGCAATTTTTAAAATTTATTTTTAAAATTTACTTTTATTTATTTATTTTAAACTTTTACTCATATTTCAACTATTTATAGTTAAAATGAGGGGAAGGGATACTGGAACACAAGAAAACGTGTGCAGATAATCTCCCCATCACATACAATTTTTACTGTTTTTTGATTAAATAAATCTAAATCTAGATCTAACGTTCAGGGAGGGTGACGTGAGGGTCGAAATGTAGCAACAGAGCGACGGGATCAGTCTGACTGTGCAGGCTCTGTCGCGCGCCTTTAACATCGCCCCTTCGTTCCATGACGCAGAAGGGCAATGAAAAATTCACACGTTGAGTTGTGACCTGGGGCGGTGGGAGGGGGTTCGCTCTCGCCCGCCTACGTGAGTGTAGTTGCAGTTCCATCCGCTAGACAGCGACTGCGCGCGCGACAGGTCCCGTCACGTCACAGCTCCATAAACGAATCATGGCAGTAGTAGGTAAGAGAGGTAGAAGAAGCATTATGCCATTGAAACCATTATGGCAGTAATTATTCAGTGACTGAAGGATTTCTGGACCAAAATAGTAACACATGACAGATATAATAAGTAATAATAATAATAATAATAATAATAATAATAATATCATCTACGTGATGCTATTGCATTAACTTTCTCATTTTATTGACGTATAAATATGGATCCATGTTTGTCCCACAAAAACGTTTGGATCAGTGAAGTTACTGCTACCAAATTCTGCACGCACACTGTTGAGCAGTCATTACATAAATAGGGGTCAGAGCACCCCACGATACTAAAATCCGGGTACACTTTGAAATTTGTGTTTCTGGAAATACACAATGCGGGACATTGTTACCAGGCGAAGGGGTAGAATTTGTCCCTAGCTGTGGGAGTAGAGAACTGCTAATTCTATATTCGCATGAAGTATCATCATATTCATGTTGACGGGTCTAATGTGTTTATACAATTATATTTATATAGATAATATGATTAAATTCACAAATCATTGGTTTGTTGACAACCTTAGTCGAACAAATACCAATCAAGAGGATGTGGAAATTTAGGCATTTAGCGCACACTCTGTTGCTTCTGTTAGGAACTATTTCCTATACTAAATACAATGTTGCACAACTTTTGTGCACATATAAATGTTGCACAACTTTTTTTTCGTTGTCGCTTTACTGCGTTTATGAAGTTAAGAGAAAGTATTGTAATACTGAGGCGGAAAGCTGAGATTTTTCGACAGGAACACTAGGATTGGAGGATACTGGTAATCAATTATATGATAAATCTTGTTTCCTTGTGAAGTAAATACTTCCTCTAAAATGACGTGTAGTCAGAATAGATTTTGTGGGTCTTTGATACCAAAAAATTTATTGACGGCAAAACGTCTGTCGTTTCTGGTCAACGCTAGTGCAACGGCAACTGTGCAAAATGTGCAAATGGTAATGTGCTTGTTATGTTAACTGGAAGGACCTGCGTTCGAATCACAGCACTAAAAAAACAATTGATTGGAAACACTTTTGTAGGTTCATTTATTTGTATAATATTGTGTAGTAGTTACAAAAATTCGAGAGAGTATGTGCTGTTGTTACAGTTCAAGGTCGCTAACAGTCATGCCGGTTGTCTCACAACGTTTTACGCTCTGCCAAAGCTTCCTATTTTTTCAGTGACCAGTGAAGAACTTTAGAGCTGCAACTTTGTAACTGAGTTTACGGATTTGGATCTTTCATACCAGATCTCGCATCTTGAAAAAGGAGAAAAAGGCAGCTTTATCGCATATGAGAAAGTTTATGCAATAACTTTGGCACACTCTTATTCCGGGGTGTTTGTTTTTCATCTCCGAAAGCGGGTTGGGAAGGAACGAGTCAGTGTGCTGAAGATGATAGAGGAAGAGGACTTTCAAGAAGCTGCAGTCAGATATCAAAGTTGACAAAGGTTCGGTTCAAGTTGGAAATTGACTTAGGTGTAGAGCGTCTAGAGCTTCTTTCGGCACCCAACGATGCACACTGCGGAAACGCGTGGCCTGTGGACAGTGAGTGAGGAATATTCACGAAAAAGTATCTATTAACGCACGATTAAATACATATTTCATTTAATATGTAATGTAACTCTGTTCATTCAAAGAAGAATTAAACGTGACGTATAATGTAATAATTCATTTCGTAATCCTTTAGTTCAGAAAAATACTTATTTTGAACGAAAGTTGTGTAGTCATTAGGAAGTACTTGTCACCTTAAGCAGAGACCTGAATAAGAATAAGAAGGCGAGGACAATGATGAGGATGATGAAGAAAAAGAAGATGAAGAATATAGACTTTTTTCGGCAAAATTAAAGTGAACACATAAACAAGAAATACTTCTTTCTTTTAAATGAAAAATTAAACTAAGAGGCATTTAATTGTACCTAAAGTTAAATTCTGGTTTGTACGATGGGGTAAATATAAGGTGATTAAAAATGAAGTGTTTGTTTAATCAGTGTATTTTTATAGTTGACTAGACACTGATGTTCTTGTTTTTAAGTCGTGGCTTGACTGATTATTTTGTGTTTCCGGGCGCGTTCACTGCTATGGTCATTAGTCTCGTGAATGGATGTTTTTAAAACGGGCGGTGGCGGTAATCCGGGGCTGCCCTACACGTCGACTTGCGAGGTTTTCTGACCTCGCTCCCGTTGGTCGTTTAAGCTCCCGGTTGGTCTCCCGGCTTGAGTGGTGGTGTAATGCTTGTGAGTTTAAGGAAGAGGCGATGATAAAGCTAGGAGAGGAACGAAAGAACGCGCACGGTTCGTGGCCTGTTTGTTAGGGTACTTCTCCGGCATTCGCGTGGTGTTGATCGGAGAAACCACAGAAAATTATCGATCAGAGTAGCCGGCCGCTAGAATTCTCCTCCAGGCATCGGCTGAATTCGTCTCAGCGGATTAGCTTGTGTCGAAAATACTGCCACCGTCGGAACAAACAGAGGATTTCCCTGTTTAAATAGTTCTGTTGTATTAAACGAATAATTGCAACACGCGAATATATGACTAATGTGCATGGTCGACAGTGGTCATGGGGTGAAGTTGCTACAAGAGGAAAGGCTCGCTGGGAGCTAACATGCAAGCTGCTGATTCTTCTCTTTCGCCCTGGAGGCCTCTGGACATTAATGTGCCTCCCTTGGAGGTCATAGGGTTCGAGTTCCGACAGTGACAGGATTTTCAACACTAGCTACATAGCTAGGTTAAACTCAGCCCCTCTATCTGGAGAGGAGTTCTAGCGGCCGGCGGCTCCGGTCGGAAGTTTTCCGTGGTTTCCAACATCAGGCAAATGCCGGAGCAGAAAGCTAACAAACGGGCCCGGACCGTGCGATATTTCCTTCCTCTTCTTTGTCATATCCTTACTTCCACACCTACATTTACATGTTATTCCCTATGAAACATGTCTCAAGACGGGTCGAGAGCTTAGAGTTTGTCCCGGTTGGGACGGTGCCCAGCTAGTGGGAGAAACCCGGATGAGAAAATCCGCAAGCCCCAGACGGTTGTCTTTAGAAGCCCCAGGCGTTTGTAACATATTATGAAACATATATTTAGATAACTTTATTAACTGCTGAAGTTTATAACATATATCCTGAGACATATTTATTTGGAACCGTCTACAAGTCCCAAAGTACACTTATTCTGAGACATTCTGAGTAGATTATCGTGGCCCCATTTCCTGTTTGAAGGCAAAATAATACATATTGAAGTGATTATGTAATGGTGGTTAATAATTCATGTGTTTTGATATTACGATACGAGGTAGGAGTGGGCGAGTATTGTAAATTTCACACAAGTGTATTAATGCTCATTACATCGAGTTTTATGTGTACTTTTTCTGCGACTAATGGTAACTTTTACAAGTTAAACTTCTGAATCGTGACGTGGCAGTTGACATGCACGATTTAGCCAAGGTCACCTAGCGGGCAACTCCCTACCCTACCATGCCGCAGATTAATTAAATAATATTCCACGTAATAAAATACTTATAATAAAAGAAATTAAAACAGACAAGCATAATAATAAAAACAATTTTAATGTACACAATGGAACGAAAAATTTACTAGAATGATTCTCAATTATTAATAGTGTCAATATTTGTTTTGTAAACTTCTCTGTGTTTGGTCAAGAACCTATATCATAATGGAATGTGTATTATTATGCAGCAATAAAATGGCAAAATAATACAGTGGTAGTAAAAAAAGTGATTATATTTCACTCTGTATATGCCCTAGAAGTTAGTGACATTTATTTGGGGACATCCTCCATAGAGTATTGTTTTCCCATTACTCTAAGATGGTATTCTACCCTTACAATTATCTAGACATTAGTGACATTTATTTCGGGACACATGTGCAGATTAGTGTTTTCCCACTACTATTCCATGGTATTCTACCCTATGCCCCAGAACTTAATGACATTTATTTTGGGACACCTGTATAGAATATTGTTTTCCCACTACTATTCCATGGTATTCTCCTATGCCCTGGAAGATAGTGACATTTTTTCGGGACATCCTCAATAGAGTATATTTTCCCACTACTGTTCCATGGTATTCTACCCTGTACATGCTCTAGACGTTAATGACATTTATTTCGTGTGTAGAGTATTGTTTCCCCTGTGTAGAGTATTGTTCCCCTGTGTAGAGTATTTCCCCTGTGTGTTTGTATTGTATTACCTGTGTAGAGTATTGTTTCCCACTAATATTCCATGATATTCTACCGTATGCACTATAAGATAGTCACATTTATTTATTTTGGGACATCCTGCATAGAGTATTGTTATACCACATGTTCACTCTATAAGTTAGTGCAATTTATTTCGGGACACCTGTGTAGAGTGTTATATCCAAAAAAGAACAGTGATTTCTAAAACTGTTTTTTATTACCACAAGCCAACAAGAGATTCACTAATACAAGCGAGGTCGAACAATACTCCGGGAGATATACCGGGGACGTTGCGATGTTCACTGATTCGCTGCAGGAAAAGTCCGAGTTCGTAGCCGTTCTGTAATACGCTTTACTTGACACTATACACACTCGAGGCCGGCACTTCACTCACTGGCTACTACTCGCCGGGCACCGCTCTTATAGCCCGCCCGGACTGCAGGTCCGCCGGCCCGATAGGGTGGGTTCTCTGGTTCCGGGACTTGGCCGAGCGTGACGATGCTGCAGCGTTAGCAATCGGCACCCTCTCTTGAGCGGCGCCGGAACCACTTTCCGGCGGCAACTTCAAAGGTGCGCGTTCGACCATATCATAGAGTGTTGCTGTTCGCCTCCCGTAGATGGCGGAGGGCGGCGGGGAGGAGGCGGAGGCCGAGGCGGAGGCGGAGGAGCGGCTGCGCGCGGAGGCCGGGCTGGAGCTGCGCGCGCCCGTGCGCGAGGAGCAGTTCGCCGCCGTCATCGCCCACCTGCGCCACAACTTCTTCGCCGACGAGCCGCTCAACCGCGCGGTGGCGCTGTGCGCGCCGGGCCAGCCGCACGCCGAGCTCGAGGCCCACGCGCTCGCCACGCTGCGCGACGGCCTTTCCTGCGTCGCGCTGCACGGCGCCACTGGGCAGGTGCGCTCTCTTCTGCCCAGTTGGGGCCCAATGCGAGCCCTGGACGTATTCACACACCTACATTTACATCCTTCTACGAGCCCCAGAAGTATTGACACACCTGAATTGAGATCCTTATACGAGCCCCAGAAGTATTGACGCACCTACATTTAGATCCTTCTACCAACTCCACAAGTATAGAGACACATGTATTTGGATCCTAATACAAGCCCCAGAAGTATTGCCACACCTGTATTTAGATCCTTTTTCGAGACCCAAAAGTATTCAAACACTTGTATTTGGATCCTAAAACGAGCTTCAAACGTATTAACACACCTGTAATTAGATCCTTCTACAAGACTCAGAAGTATTGATACACCTAAATTTAGATCCTTCTACAAGACCCAAAAGTATTGACCCAACTGTATTTAGATACTTCTACGTGCCCCAGAAGCATAGAGACACCTCTATTTGGATCCTAATACGAGCCCCAAAAGAATTGACACGCCTTATTTAGATCCTTCTACGAGACCTCGAAGTATTGAGACACCTGAATGTAGATCCATCATCCCTCTGTGTATCTATATGCATATATTCTGAGATACCTGTACTTGATATATTTATATCCCTTTACATGACCTAGAAATTTGTAACATTTAATCTGAGAGGTGTATTTCGATCACTCTATGCTGTAGTAAGTTGCAGTCCTAAGTAGTGAGAGTAACAGCATGAAGACACTATTAGTAGAGTAACATTTATTCTATTTTTACCCCTATACGTGCCTTAGAAGTTTGTAACATTTATCCTGAGACACCCTACATGTGTTCGTTACCTTTATCCAGAATCACCTTTAATTGTACCCCTAAAATGCCTTAAAAGTTTGCAACACTTATTATGAGATGTGTACTTGGATGTTTTAGAACTTTGCAACATTTATCCTCAGTAGTGAGAATAATAGCATGGAAGTTTTAGTAGAGTGACATTTATCCCACCTTCTACCCCAATAAGTGCCTTACAGATTTTTAACATATCTTAAGACACCCTACATGAGTTCGTAACATTTATCCAGAATCACCTTTAATTGTCCCCTAAACACGCTTTTTATTCAGAGACATCTATATTTGATATATTTATATCCCTTTACATGTCCTAGAAGTGTGTAACATTTATTCAGAGAGGTGTATTTAGATCTCTCCATGCTTAAGTAGTTTGCATCATTTATCCTGAGTAGTGAGAGTAAAAGCATGAAAGTGTTCGTAGCGTAGCATTTACCACCCCTGTACGCGCCTTAGAAGTTTGTCCCGTTGGTGTCGCGCGTGCGGCAGGTGGCGGGCGTGGCGCTGAACGGCGTGACGCGGCCGGGCGACGTGGCGCGCGCGCGGGCGGCGCTGGACGCGTTGGCCGACACCAAGTTCCGGCGCATCTTCTCGCTGCTGTACGGCGCCAACCTGCAGCTGGACCTGTTCGGCGCGCACGGCGTCGACCGCGTGTTCGAGTGCCGCATCCTGTCGGTGGACCGGCGCTGGCGCGGGAAGGGCCTCGCGTGCGCCCTGCTGCGACGCAGCGAGGCCATCGCGCGCCAGCACGGATTCAAGGTCAGCCCACACTCCCACCTCCCCCCTCCCCCACACACATTCACGCGCCCTCTGACCCTTACACTTACAAAGCGGATGCGATGGTGTAACTGTCAGCGTATCGGACTATTATACCCATGTTGGCGGGTTCAAACCCGATGAACATTTCATCTGCGTTTTATAAAACCTTCTTGAAGAAAATATTACCTTGTGCAGCAGTCGTCAAAAATGCCTTTGATCCATTTTCAAGCTCCACAATTTTAAGTTTATACTGTCAAACCAATTTTGTTGAACTTTATTTTCATAACCAGGAATATTCAAAACATTTTTTATAACTGTTTACATCTATCCATTTTCAAAACAGCAAATTAGGCGGATTTTTGTTTAAATTCGTTCGTAACTTCATCCATTAGAGTCAGTCCGCAACTTCGGCGCAAGGAGTCCATTTCCATTGCCTTCAGTTTCTTTTCGCTCTTATTTGTTACTTCCCATATCTCAGATCCATAAAGGGCAATATTCTCTACAACAGACTTATATACTTTTCTTCTTACACTATTACGTAATTTATCTTTCCATATCAGTAGATGTAATTGTCTTATAGCCACTCTACCTTTTGCAATTGTTGATATCTTGCACATCTTTACTGACGCGAAAGAGAAAGTACTTTCTGTTGAAGAAGAAAACTTCTGTCCGTAATTTTCTCAAAAAAAGTCTAAAGAAATGACCCAAGAAAGTGAAGATCTATGATACCTCTAACTCCTGAGAAAGTTAGAACTCAATTGAACGGGCTCAGGCCTACCGGCGACGCCCCTGCCTCGCGGCCATGGGTTAAGGGAGTACGTGTGGATAACACGTAGGCATCCCCACACCATATTCTGGTCTTCTCAACCCGGGAGGTGAATTTTCTCATCTTCACACAGCAACATATACTGGGGCTTTGCAAGGAAAACACACCCTATAATCTTACCTACCCGGAAATCGAACCCGGGGCTGCGTAGTGGAACATAAGTGATTAGTAATTTAAATTTCTGTGCGTAGGAAACTTGCATTAAAGATTCATGCAAATTAGAAATTAGTGATGTGTATGTTGTTATGTCCAAAACAAGTTCTTTTTGTAAAATACTTGTATTTACAATTTCCAATAGTACAGAGTAACCGTTCACAGAGCGTTGCCATCAATTATCTGCGAGATTTACCAGAACCACCATAAACCAATGGGATTCCCAATAAACGAAGCAGTAAGCTATAACCAATATCCAGGAGAAAGTCCGTAACTCAGGCCGATCACGTAGTAACTTGGTATTCGCACTTCAACGCTCCCAACATCGCGGGAAGACTCGAACTGGTTCACTGCGCGCTGTCTTATACCCCTCTGGGCTGAGGGCTCGCTGACTGGTCCTGTCGTACGGCGAGCGACGCGCTCGGTTGCGCCAGTTGGAGCGAAACGGCTGCGCCCGCTCTTAACGCCCTCTTGTGAGCGGCGCCCGAATCTTCTCGTGGCGCCACCGTCTCGTCGCTGCAACCCTGTGGCGGCTCTTTTAAGAGGGCGCGGGCGCATATGTAGCGGTGACGCTGTGTGTGCGTGTGTGCGGCAGGTGCTGAAGGAGGACGCGACGGGGCTGTTCTCGCAGCGCGTGGCGGAGCGGTGCGGCCTGCGCGCAGTGGCGCAGGTGCGCTACGTCGACGCCGCCGCCCGCGACGAGGCCAGCGGCCACGCGCCCATCCTCCCGCCGCGCCCGCACGACTGCCTCAAGGTCATGGTCAAGATCCTGCACTGACAGCAGCGCTCGCCGCGCCCGCCGCCCCCGCCGCCCTCCGCCGACCCGCCCCACCCGCACCCGCACCCACGCACTAGCACTCCGCACTAGCCACGCCTCGGGGACACGACGATAAGGGTCGTTTTCGCTTGGCGATACCTGCACGCGTTAGAAAAGAGGGCGGGAGAGCTGTGGAGTTGCTCCCGGCTTTCGCGCCATCTACGCCGACCCTAACCTCACTCTTCTTCTTCTTCTCTAACCCCGCCGCCCTCCGCCACCCTTCGCTCATGCGCACGCAAACTCCTCTCTCCCAGGCACAGAAAGATGTTTTCTAAAGCACAAGACGAGGATAAAGGCCGTTTTCGGTTGTCGTCTCCTGCACTCCCTCTAGGGAATGGCGGGAAAGCGTTGGAGCCGGTTCCTTGTTCTCGCGCCATCCACGTCGTTCCTAACCACACTCTTTTATCCTCTAACCCCGCCACCCGCTACCACTTACACACATACTCCTCTCCCAGGCAAAGAAAGGTTTGTATAACGCACAAGACACAAGATGGTTTTCGCTTGTTTTCTCCTGCACTTCTTCCAGATGATGCCGCGAGGGCAGTTGAGCTGTTCCCTGCTCTCGCGCCATCTACGCCTTTTCTAACCTCACTCTTCTTATTCACAAACACCGCCACCCCACCCCCATCCACTCACAAACACACTATTTTCTTCCAGGCACAAGAAGACTACTTTCAGGAAGTCGACGATAAAAGTCATTTTCGCTTGTCGCCTACTGCACTCCCTCTAGTGATGGTGGGAAAGCATTGAAGCTGTTTCCTCGCTCTCGTGCCATCTAGGTCGTCCTTGACCTCACTTCTTTACCACTACACCCTCCCCACTTAAACGCTCCTCTCCATAGCACAGGAAACATTTTATGACGCACAAGATGACGATAAAGGTGGTTTTAGCATTTTTCACCTCCTCTAGTTGATGGTGCGCGGTCAGTTGAGCTGTTCCCTGCTCTCGCACCATCTTTTGCGTCCCTAACCTCCTTTTCCCCAACTAATTCTGCCGCCCTCCGCCATCTCGCTGCCCCTTCCCCACTCACACCTACTCTCGTGTGCCGCCACACAGGCCGGGCGATTCTTCCACCATACATCTCGGGAAGACGACGCTGAAGATCAATTCTGATCTCATTGTCACTCATTTCCTCTAGACGATGACGGGAGCGCAGCTGAGCTGTTCCCTGCTCTCCCGCCATCCAGATTACGCCGTTCCTTACCTCGCCCTTGTTTTTGTTTGTGTCTGGGCTGCACCACCTGCTCCGGAAACGCATCTCAGCGGATGATCGCTCACCTGCGGCAGCCGCTGAGATTCAGTTCACGTGCTCGGCGCTCACGAGTAACGGAAGCGGTGGGCGGCCTAGTTCCCGAGATGCCTTCGCCGTTCTGTCCCAGACGTCGCGCCCCCGGCGTTCGGCCGCAGTCCGGGTTCCACCTGGGGGAACCAGTTCTACCATCCACTCGCGAATCGTCCCATTACGTCCGGTCCGCCGGATTTCTTCGCGCCAGGTTTCCCACCCTGGGTGCGGCGTCGGCGTTGGGGTTCCCCGTCGTCTGGGACTCCCTTACTCCCCCCCCCACGTCATCTCGAGACGCTAATGAAACTAGCCCCCTTGCAGCAACCTCGAGATGGCACTCCCTTTTCCAGTTCCCTTTTTAGTTTGTTTCGGAGCTCCACCATCTGCTCCAGATACTCATCTCCTCGGTGAGTGGCTGCTCGAACATCCAGGGCAGCCGTTTGGATTTGGGCCATCTCCGCCGCTTTGCGCTTCCCGCCCTCGGCCTAATGTTCTCGGAAAGTCGTTCGTCGTTATCTTTGCTCGTAGCCTCTTATTCCCGTTGACACTCCAAACATCAGGCCTTAGGAAATCGCCAGCTGTTTGATTGTGGAATCAAGAAGCGTTTTAAATATTCGCTAGTTGGAGATACTCGACGACTGCAAAATACAAACTGAATATACATGTCTGCCATTCTGAAAGCCATCCAATGCTCAAGACCCCCCGAATGTTGAAACTGGTTTGGGGGGTCTTGACTACAAACTTCCCGAATAAATATCAACATCACAAGAGCAGACAAATTATGATGTTTGTGATTCTATGCCATTGAATCATGATTATATTCCAACTGTGAGCATTTAATGGCGTTAATATTTTTCCACTAGTTCCAAATTGGCGATATCCTCACGACCGAGTACGTGAGAAATATGTGCGTCCTCAGCTCGACCAAAAGAGTTAATAAAATCACGTATCGCAGTTCGCAAGAACTTGAATTGTCACTAGAGAAGAGTGACGTATATATATCGTAACTGTTCAATGCCCGAGAACGGAACACGAAATAAATACGCTCACTTCTATCTATCTTCTACCCAGAGAGGAAATTCTTTCCTTTCGACCAATGCCTTCTCACGACAGAATGAATTTGTCAAGTTCCGCGAGTTCTTCGTCAGATTTTCTGGAAAAATATGGGAAATTTCGACATCATAAGGACATGGAAATCTTAACAGCTACTTGGGCAATATCAATGTGGTGCCAACGTATTTAAAATTTCGATATATATGAGATCTCATTGTCTTTTTGAATTAAGCAGATTCTTTTCCCTAAAAAAATAGAACGCTGTTATTTGAATTTATTTGCCTTTATCGTGACCTATCAAGAGTCTCCAAGAAAGACATTGCGTGTATGATGTGAATGATTAAAATATTTGTTAAATGAGCATTTCGAAAATAAACATTCTAAGCTTTGGATTTTGACGATCCTTCAGAATATTTATCATTAAAAATAAGTGTTCTTGCAAGTTCCAAATTAACTATAATTAAAACACAAATAAAATGTGTCTTCAAAACATATCAGCATTGATTCTACCACATGCAAGTTACTAAAATGGACAGATTTATTATCGAATACTACTTTTAGACTGACAACTAAGCTAATTGTCAAGTGAGGTAGTGAAGTCTTTCCTGTAATGACATACACAATGCTTACTGACGTAATCGATGACATTTGACTGGAAAGTCAAATCCTTTTCTCTTTTTATTTTTGAAAAAAGAATGAAATTTCGTAATGAATAGAGGTTGGAGACTTCTTCCATAAATCATTATTGTTAATATTGTTGTACACTTTGGTGCTTTAGAATAGAAACATAATAAATGCTTAAGAGCTCCACAAATTACAGAATTATCCATACAGCATTTTTGTAATTGTTGTTATCGATTTACAATACTACACGCATTTCAGGCCATTAACATGGTCACATTTTTTATCTGAGCAGAAAATGCTGTCATCATTTTGCAGAACTGTAAAAAAGGTACTGTAGAGAATGCGTGGATATATTTACAAAATATTTATTCAATGAGAAAAATACTTTCTATAATTGGCAGTAAATTACAAAAAAATAATAAATTGGGGCCCAACAAAGTTTTAAACCAATGCTTTCTTTTATTGGTATAATGATATTTAACAAATGTTTTTATACAAAAGTTATCAACATATAAATCTAATTGCTTTTTAGTCTGCGTGTGTACTCGTTAATGAATGTGATAAATTAATCACAGTGATCAGCAATATCGAAACAAACAACTCAGGGAATGTTATCTGCAATGCTTTAAGCATTGATTCTTGGACTATTGTTCATATCTCTAACTCCATTTCTTATTTTTCAATCTGAAAATTTAATACGTTCTTTGAAATCGGTTCACAACTCAGGATTCCCTCTCAGCGTGCCTTTTTCGTGCCTTTGTTGGTGCAGACACGTTCATTTTGAAAATACAGGGTCAGTTACAGTAAATTAACAAAACAAGGCCAAATTAGGCCAGCAGTCCTATCTTTCTCTTGACCAAAATCCATTATTCATTATACTCAACGTCGATGATGTGTTATTTCCAACATCAATAGTTCCTAGTAAACATCTTATTTGAAACAGTATTTTAAAATTTGTTTTCTCTACTTATGTAATTGTTATTTTCAAATTAAACTGACCCTAGTTTGTTCACATCTTCAGTTTTTTCTTCGTAAATCGATATAACTCGATGCATTGCGATCTAAGCAATAATGACGTGTATTGGGCTCTGATATAAGTCGGTCCGTCATAAAGTTTATGAGACATTAGTTATTTGTTACCATTCGATTTGCCAACACCTGGACCTTCAAGCCCAACGTAGCAGCCCTTAAACCAAAGAATAATAATAATAGCTATGCGGTGACTGCTTAATAGTATCCAATGTGCAATGCTAATGAAAGATCTTATTGTGTCCCGTGCTTATGGCTTTGGGAGAGAACTTGGGAAAAGGGCTCCCACCAAGATCATCTAACTTTTTAAATAACACTTTCACCACTGCACCAATTATATCGCAATTAACCTATCTCTTAACCTCACTTCCGAACATTAAGAACGAATATGTAACAACCATTTTTTTACACGGCAATGGGTGGTAGCTCACTCATTCCCAATTTTTTTCAGGCTTGAATTACGTTATACACTTCTTCATTTGATGTTTGGTTGAACCTAGAAGTACCTACTATGTTTTTCAATGTAGTTGAATTTGTTTGAGCTAGAAGTTAAATCTGAGTATTTAACTGGAATAATTTTTAATACACCTACCATGAAATACCTTTAATTTTCGTGAATATTGCCTTGTCTAGGTTTTCGCTTAATGAATGAGAAAAGATAATAGAGTGCATTATTGATGTCGTCGATGTTAACTGCTATTGTTCCTGGACATTACTTATAAATCGTGTTATTTAATCTTAATCTATGACTTAATACCTTCATATACAACTGAAATTTATCAAAAAATATAATTTTTGAAAAGTATAGAAAAGAATCCGTTTTGCCAAAAAGGACGCATTACTCTTTGTCATTGTGTGGAAAATGAAATAATATGAAAACCACTCACATTACTTTTATTGTTGAGCAAAATTTGGTATGACGTTATTAACGGAATAATAAACGAAGAAAGAATGAAAATACTTTTACATTAAG